GTAAGATTAAAAGGTAAAATGGCATAATTGACTATAATGCTCATCCACAAATAAGAATCACTGTGGTCTATCTCAGTAGCAATACTTTCAATCAGGAAACTGAGGCCAAAAGAGGCAAAGTGATATGTCCCAACTTTACTCAGTACATAAATGGAACAGCAGGTTTTCAAACCCAGGTCAGTCCAACACAAAGTCTATTTCCTTTGGACCGCCCATGCTACCCATCTGTGCCTATTCAGGTCTGTATGACCACAGTGGGTGTACAATTTGCATATCAAAGTAGGCAAGTTTCTTTCAAGTCTGAGTAGGTGCACACTGGTATGGACTCCAGGGATTACTACCAGAGGGGTGAGCTTCTTTAGGTACAAATATTTGGCTAAACATGTTTGTATAGCCTAGCCCCAGAGCATGAGAACAGTTTCCATCTGGCTGTGCCCGCTAAATGGTGAGGCACTAGGGACTCAACCCAGCTCACAAATACTGGCAGAATAAATGAGTGAATAAATGAATAAATGTACATAAAAATAAATGTCACCAAACGACAGTGATTCTGGCTGGAATTTTATTTCAGGTTTCCCGTGCCCATAAGCAGGTTGGGAAACAGTGATCTTTCTACTTCAATTTCATTACTTTTGCATCCTTTTATTTTATCTAGACCAGAAAAAGAAACAGTTGCTAATTTGGGAACCTTTGCCAATTTGGGAACAAATTTAATTCCATTACGTATCTGCTCACAGGTATTCTACAGTATTAAATGTTGCCACCAGAGAACTGTAGAACAGGAAAGGTCACGTGGTTTAGTCCTGAAGCTTGGGAACAAACTCTCCTGCAGCTGTTCTAGGGTTTTGGAAGTCACTGCCTTGCTTTGCTTTCAGTACCCTCCAATATCAGTCTCCAAATATCAATCCACATGGCAGCAGGAGGTCCTGGCTTTGCAGGACAGTTTAGTTTTACATAGATCATTATTAACAGCAGCCACTTTCACCCTCAAAAGTGTCTTGGTTTAGACAATGTATTATATAGTCACACTTCCTAAGCCCACAAGTATTTATAATATGCACTCCAAGTTTTGGTTCAAAAAACCTGTTTCCATTTTTCTGACACATGCTCATGCACGGCTCATGACTGCCACCTCCTTCGTACAGAGCTTGCCCCACCTCTGAGTTTGCTCATGTTCCTCTTCCCTGCCTGAAATGCTCTCCTTCTTCAAACTCACTTATGTAAATCTTACCCATCTTTCAAAACTGAGCTCGAACCCCACTTCCATGAAGCTGCCTCTGTCTGCTTCAACCCACGCTGACTTCTTCCTTCTCTTAACTTCTACTTGCGATATTTGCTTTGCTAAAATAGGAAAGGAGTGAAAGGCACATCGTAGATGATGGATTTACTCCTCCCTTGAGCACTCTGCCTGTATTTTGTTTAGGAGCCTGCAGGTAGTACCTGGTTATGGTAATTTAGTCCCAGCCCCAACAGGCTTTTTCAAAGATGGTTCATTAAAAGAAATTAGAATATAAATACATGATCTGCTTATGCATACTTCCCCCCTCCTCCAAAAAAAAAAAAACTGTTGTTCTAAGAAAACTGCAAACAGAGCATTTAAACTAAAGACTTGCCTGGTGAACTCTGTGTCTGACCTCTTGCCCAAAGCAGCTGTGCTTCCCCAACTACAGCATCCTTGAAAGATGGCCAACCATGTTATCCACAAACACACATCCCTCCAGTCAATCTCTCCAGGCACCTTGTTCCCTTACTGGGAAGCTCGGACTGACTAAGTGCTTTCTTATCATACGGTATTTCTCAAAGTTAGGTTTGCGGACCATCTGCACCAGAATTATTTGAGGTGCTTGTTAAAATCACAGACTCTCAGCCAGGTGTGGTAGCTCACACCTGTAATCCCAGCACTTTGGGAGGCCAAGGCGGGTGGATCCCCTGAGGTCAGGGGTTTGAGCCCAGCCTGGTTAACATGGTGAAACCCCATCTCTACTAAAAATACAAAAATTAGCTGGGTGTGGTGGCTTGCACCTCTAACCCCAGCAACTCAGGAGGCTGAGGCAGGAGAATCCCTTGAACCCGGGAGGCAGAGGTTGCAATGAGCCGAGATCACACCACTGCACTCCAGCCTGGGCAGCTGAGCAAGACAACATCTAAAAAAAAAAAAAAAAAAAGGAAAAAATCACAGACTCCCAAGTCCAACTCCAAGCATACTGAATCAGCATTTGGAGCAAAAAGGGAAACAGGAGCGTGCATTGTTAGGTTTCCAAGTAATGTTTGTTTATTGTTACAAAGCTAGAGTCGGTGGATTCTACCTCTATGACTTTTCCATTTTTAACAACAGATAGCAAGTCACTTCGCTTTTCTTCAAATTAACTCTTCAAATACTGGAAGACATCTCCCTGCCTTTGCTCCTAATATTCAGTTGTAACCCATGTAATCTAACATTTCTTTACAACAAGCTTCCATCCCCTAAGCCAACCTGGGCACCCCGCTCTGGGTCCTCTGCTGCTTGCTGATGTCTCTCTCAAAATGGGATGCCCAGAGATGACACGTACCTCACAGTGTGAGGTGGGGAGAGAGACTGAGAGGATTTTCAGTGCTTTCAGAACACACTGCCAATTTTGTGAAGGACAGTGTATCTACTTACACTCCTGGCAGCTGATGATGAGCCTGTCCATTTCAGCCTAACCCAACCAGCAGTTAAGTATTACCATTTTATAAATCTTTGCTAATTTAATAGGCACATGAAGTTGACCCCTGAGTTGTTTTAATTGGGATGCCTTTGTATTCTTCAGATATCTATTGGCAATTGGTAGTTCTTTTGTAAATTTTCAGTCCTCGTCCTTCCTGGGTTTTTTCTTTTTTTGCCTTTAATTCATTAGGTCAGTTGCTGAGCCAAGTAAGCCCTTTCTATGTATCATCTCACCAAATCCTCAAAACAGCGTTTCCCCCACTTCATAGGCAAAGAAACTGAGCTTTAAGAAACTTACAGAAGTTAGGTCTTCAGCTTCCTCACTGATTTATTCCTTCATTTAATCAACTTTTTTTTGGAGGAGAGTTCTTCATCTTTCAGACATTTTGTAATATGAGTTAATAGGGCCAAGTACCTGGTATGAAATTATGAGGAAGCTTCAGAAGGAAACTGGGAATGTTCTCAACTCTGTTTCTTCCTACTTCTACCTAAAATTTCCTTTATTCTCTTTGTTGCTTTTCCTGGCCTAAAGGTATTAGTGAACAAGTAATAATCATTCAGTGGATAGTAATGCTATTTACTGATACAAGGTTTAAGGAGGATATATGTATCTGTTCATATATTTGTCAAGAGAGGTAGCCATCCCCTGAAAAGTAACAGAAAGGGATTAAAGGGAGCAATTTGGAAACAAGGGATAACTCTGTAAAAAATCATAGTCCATCATAGAAATTGTTCAAAAGTATATATGCAAGTAATACTGGCTTTCATTTTTTCCATTTTATATTCTCTTAAATCCCAAGACCAGTGTTTACGCAATTAACTAGGACCCTAATGTTAATTCATTATTTACAGCATTTTAGTCCAAACAGCTGAGATTCTCATGGATTTGGTTAAATTAATCAAATTCCATGCAATTATACTTTAATTAAAAATACATACGCATGAAGTTGAAATCCTGATATTTAAGTCAACTAAATTTATAACAAAATTAGAAGAGATGCAAATGATTAATTACAGATCTACAAACAAAATTAAAAATAATTTAACCCTACTCTCCGTTTTAGAAGGCAGCCAAGGCCCACAGGTCACAAGTTCTCAATGTCACACTCTGAGCAGTAACATTGAGATTCAGCTCCAGGTTTCCCGATTTCCAATCCAGAGCCTGTTCATCTGGGTCTTTCCCTGACATTGATTCCCAACTTCACTTAAACAGGCCCTGTTCTCCCCAGAACGCTCAAAACTCTCCAAATGAAACTTATAAACTAGTAGTTAAAACAGCTAAAGCAACGAAAAAGGTCGTGGTTCTGGGACTTTATGCTTTCAGGCAGCCTGGTTAAAATCATTGGGGGCTATACACATTCTTCCATAAGCTTTGATGGAAACTCGATTTATTCCATATTAGTTATTAACAAACACATATTCCTTCGCAATTTCAAGGCCCTACATTTTGCTGCAAATATTTCTTTCACACAATAAACAAATTTTTTTTAAAAAAAGCATTATATGAATTCTAGTGCTCATTTCCCCAAATAAGAAAGAATACATCTTTTCTTTCTTCTTTACTATCCTAAGCTTCCCATTACTCTCTGTTTGGACCCACCATTTAAAACTACACACAAACTTTAAGTTCAATTTCTTAACACTATGGTTTTGATATCTCCACAGTGCAGCACCTGGCAGCCACACTTACCTCACAACATAAGGAGAATATTAACCCTCTAAATAGATTGTTCTAAATAGGGACACAAAGCAAATTTTAAACAACAAACGTTACTCCAATTGACCTGACTGTTGATTGTTTACATTATTTCTAGAATTGGATCCTCCAGAACTTAGTCTGGATTATTTGTTCGCCTACACCCATTCCCAGCACAGATGTTTCCCTGTCTTTCCACCTTCACCCATCAGTAAAGCCGCCACTGTGGCCACTCCCCTACAGACAGAGCCCCTTCCTCCACACACAGGCCTTGGCCTCACCCAAACAAACCCTCCACAAGCAGACACTACTTCGTACACATTTACCCTCTACCCCACCACCAACACACAAAAACCTACCCTGGGCATCATTATAAAGTAACACATGACACCAAGGCCTGGCCTGCATAATTGAACCCTAAAACCATTACAAGCGACAACCTGAAAGCCACGTTAACTTGAGAAACTCTCTCTCTGTAAACCTTGAAAACATCCAGGAAGCTTTCCATCTCACAAGGACAGGCTCATTCAAACCTCCCCTTGGAAATTTAGGCAAGGTGACCCCTCTATTCATTCAGATCCGCAGGCCTTCCCCCAACAACACAGAGCCCACACTCACTGCAAATCTGACTTGGCAGTTCTCCTCTCCAAGGTAGCATAGGTCTCCCGAGACGTTGGTCTCCAGCCACAGGTGTTCTCCATTCACGGCATTCTCCTGCAAGGAAAAGACCCACCTGACATCAATTTTTTTTTCCAGGGATAAGGAAGACTATTTCAAATTTAGATTTGGGATAAAAGAAAGTTAGTGAAACAAAGGAGCCTAAACATTCCTCATTTGACCTCTCAAAGTACTGCTAGAGTTGATTCTACTGAAATTCTAAAAAGGGAGAAATGTGTTTGGATAAACTTTGAGCTATAACTAAAATAGACATTAGGTTTATAGCTGCTTTATCCATGGAGGTGGTCATTTTTGAAACATATTCAACAAACGGGGAAAAAACACCTCGAAACAGTTTGATGTCAAACCTTATTCACCAAGTCCACCACTGCAAATTTCATGACAACTGAGACTAAAATTATTTTAAAGTTTGACTTTGCTCAGTGAATAAGCTTAACAAATTAGCTAAAAAAGAGGACGGTAGCATTAAAGTATTTTAAGTAAAGACAGTTTGAAAACACAGTTATACCAGTAACAGCAAATTATATTTCTAAGGGCAGAGGCTTCTTAAAACTAAGTTCCTGTGTACTCAAAGCATAATAAGTTTCTACTAATTCACATCTTACTAATTCAGTAAGGTCTTCACCCAATTACTTCTCAATTTTTCAAACTAAATGTTATTGCTTCTAAAAATATTCATATACTTTGGATGGGGAACAGAGCTGCTAGAATGTATGACCTGATGAGCAACAATCCTATTTTACAGAAATGTGTGGAAAGGGGGAAGTAAACCTTTTTTTTTCAATAGTATGATGAATAGAATTCCATATTCCTTCTTATGGGATACTACCTTGGAAATTATACATTTATATATTAATTGTATATTTTGCACGTTTGCTTAAAACGGGCTCTGAGCTGTTAGGAAAAGTATTGTATTAGATTAACCATAAAGAAACAAGACTAAGTCCCCATGTCTCACAGGAAAATTACTCTTGTTTTTACCTTACTCATCAGATGTACATGGGCATGTAATTATTTGTTATGGGGGATGCTATGGACTGAACTGTGTCCCCTCAAAATTCATACGTTGGCCAGGCACGGTGGCTCACACCTGTAATCCCAGCACTTTGGGAGGCTGAGGCGGGCAGATCACTTGAGGTCTGGAGCTTGAGACCAGCCTGGCCAACGTGGTGAAACCCCATCTCGACTAAAAAAAATACAAAAACTAGCTGGGTGTGGTGGTGGGTGCCTGCAGTCCCAGCTATTCGGGAGGCTGAAGCAGAAGAATCGCTTGAACCTGGGAGGTGGAGGCTGCAGTGAGCCGAGATCATGCCACTGCACTCCAGCCTGGGCAACAGAGTGAGACTACACCTCAAAAACAAAAAATTATTATTTTATATATATATATATTCCTATGTTGAATCTCTCACCCTCAATGTGATGGAATGTGGAGATGAGACTTTGGGAAGTAATGAGGTCACAGGGGTGGAGCCCTCATAATGGGATTAGTGTCCTTATAAGAAGAGACACATGAGAGATTCTCCACATGTACACACCAGCGAAAAGCCATGTGAGCACACAGCAAGAAAGCGACTGTCTGCAGGTGAGGAAGAGGACTCTACCCAGGACTGGAATCTGCCAGCACCTTGACCTTGCACTTCCCAGCCACCAGAACTGTGGGACATGAAGTCTGTTGTTTAAGCTACCAAGTCTACGACATTTTGTCATAGCAGCCTGAGCAGATGACTTCAATACAATCATGACATGGAAACCCATCTTATACATGAGCCACTTTTATTATAACCTACTCCAGCAGTGCCCACACCACAGCCCTTTGAATCTCAAAGCTTAGTACAGCAAAGCAGAAATATACAACAAATGGCCAGGAGCAGTGGCTCACGCGTATAATTCCAGCACTTCAGGAGGCTGAGGTGGGCAAATCACTTGAGGCCAGGAGCTTGAGACCAGCCTGCACAACATGGTGAAACCCCACCTCTACTAAACATACAAAAATTAGCCAGGCATGGTGGCAGGCACCTGTAATTCCAGCTACTAAAGAGCCTGAGGCATGAGAATTGCTTGAAACCCGGGAGGCAGAGGTTGCAGTGAGCTGAGAAAGTGCCATTGCACTCCAGGCTGAGCAATGGATCGATATTCTGACTCAAAAAAAAAAAAAAAAAAAAAAAAAAGGAACCTACACTCCATGACACTTGCTGGGAAAAAATACCAACTGTCACCCATCTTTTAAAATAAATGTATTTCTTCAGAATCAGATAGAACACATTTTCCTTTCAGGGTCTAGTGACTCAAATAATTCTGGGGTAAGAACAACCAAAATTTGTATTGTAGCATGTGACCTAGGTGCTTCAGGATCCAAAAAAGGTGGGTCCAAGTCCTGGACCGCAGAAGTGAGGCAGGAAGGCATAAGAGAAGGTAAAAGTCACTAGAGATATAGGTGTCAAGGGCTCCAGGACATAACACAGGGAGCCCCTGGGGTGGGAGTGCACCATCCACATCTCTGAGTGCCTCAAAACCATTCCTAAAGGGAGAGCAACACTGACCATGATCATTGCCCTCTACATCAAAGGGTGGACACCTTTCACCAAAACTTTTTCTTCTCTACTGTAATTTTTCCCTGTTGCAAGTTCAATTTTTTTCAAGGAAGTCAATGGGAAAATAGGCTTCACTTCACAGTCAGTCTTGTGGGACAACAGCAGAGGAAAGAGAAGCATAGCTATGGGTTCAGAATCTAAAAGTTTTCAGATAGCGATGAATGATGACATTTTTTTAAAAAGTAGAAAAGCACTTCTTTGCGAGGTATCCTGAAGAAATCAATCCACACAATCTAAAATATTCTACTGGGAACTTTTCTCCAACTCTAAGTTATAACCATTTATTCAGAATAATGCTTTCTCATTTTATTATTATTTAACTTATTCAGCAATCTTTTATTCCGTAACACTGGTATCAGGCACTGAGATTCTGTGTTAATCAATGGAGAAAAATCTACCAGAGAAGATGGAGCTAAATGCATAACAGCAGCAGCCAATATGAGAGAAACCACAGCGAAATCCCATCAACTACTTTAGAAAGTGAAGCCTAAAATGTAGCAGTGGGTAAAATGTCAAAACCTACTGATAAAGCAATGAGCTTTCAGCTCCAAGAAAGTAATCTCTAAGCCCATGGAACGTCCTGCCTGATAAGAGTGTTTTGTTTGTCTGAGGCCCTTGGGTCATAAGGTATCAACTTGACTCCCAGAGTTGTCTGAGGCCCTTGGGTCATAAGGTATCAACTTGACTCCCAGAGGGGCTAGGGGCTAATGTCAACCAAATGGGCAGTCAACCCTGTCTACAGGACCAACCCCCAATTAAAACTCTGGACATCCCCAAGGTTCAAATGAGCTTCCCTGCTTGGCACTATGCCATGTATATTATAGCACATGGTTGCTGGGAGAAGTTAGCTAGTGAACCATGATTCTACTTGGAAAGGACTGTAATAAACCATAAATGTGAGTATTAACAACTTTCAGGGAGTTCCATGAGTGTTTCTAGTGAGTTACTGAAGCTGAGTGTGGTCTTGGGGGTTCCCGAACTTGCAACTGATGTCAGAAGAGAGGGTAGTCTCAGGGACTCTTGAATCCCGCATAAAGTTGTCTAGACTGGGTGGCATTAGCACAAGAATGCAGCAGACAAATGAACTAGTTTTGTTTTCTTCCTACAATTCTCATGAACCCTTCTCCAGATCCATGTTAACTAACATGAGCTTTGGAGTCAGACTTGTTGCCTAATAGCTGTATGACTTAGGGCCCTTCTCACTTCCCTAAACCCTCTTCTACTCATCAGTCACATAAAAATCACTGTACCTCCTTTACTGGACTACAGTGATGTTTAAACATAAAAATGCGTAAAGCCCAATGTTCCGCATAAAACAAGAAGTTAATAGACGTTCGTTATATTTATTAGTGTCGCTGTTACTCTAGTTTCCCTTCTTCCTCCTAATCCACAGATGTTAGCATTAACCACATTTCTCTCCTTGGTCTTCGTGGCCAAGACTGCTAGCCATTCCTCAGAATAATTATTTCTCCTTTTCCTGGACACATAGTCAGACTTTATTTCCCCAGTCTCCCTTGCAATTAGGTGTGGCCATGTGACCAAATTCTGAACAGTGAAACAGTAGCAGAAATTCCAGACTTGTTCCATTAAATCCTCCCACATGCATTCCTCCATGGTCTTTTATCTTACTGGTCAATTGGGAAGTCAGCCTTTTGGAATCCTCTTGGTGGGATGTCAGAGCGATCCTCAGCATGGGTCACTGAATAGCTGTGTGACAAAGGGCCTGACTCCCCACCCAACCACCTGGAATAGTCTTGGTCTATCACATAGGCGAGACACAAACCTCTCTTGTATTAAGCCATTATACATTTGCGTCTTTTACTTCCTGCAGAGCCTCATTTACCCCCCAGCAAATGCAGGCCTCTTCCTTTTGCTTTTATTTTTGTCTAGGTTTCATTTCATTATCTGACTATACCCCCCAGTTACTTACTATATGCTGGACAGTGCATCTAAAATTTCGGAGTCTTGGTTTCTTCTGCTCTCAACTCTGACACCCTCTCTGATTTATTTTACATTAGTATAACTTTAGTTCCCCCAAAAGACAGCCATGATTATGCCTCTCCCTTGTTCAGAATGCTTAGATGTTTCCCTATTTATAAGATAAAATCCAAATTCGACCTGGCATGCTAGACTCCAATAACAGCATCAATCACTCTTTTATCCTTGTCACTTTTAAAAACAAAAAACAAAAAACAGGGCCTTGCTCTGTTGCCCAGGCTGGAGTGCAGTGGCATCATCACAGCTCACTGCAGCCTCAAACTGCTGGACTCAAGCAATCCTCCCACCTCAGCCTCCTGAGTAGCTGGATTACAGGCGTATGCCAACACACTGGGCTCCCTGTCACTCTTCTTTAAACATACCTCGCATTTCCCATTTTGGTGCCACGTTTTTGTTCATTCTACTGTCCCTACCTGGAAACATCTTTCTCTCTTCTCTACACATGTA